TTTTTTTTGCTGGGACCTTCCCAGGTCCTTCTTGCACGGCCGGACGCCCGGAAAAACAGAGTGACCCGGGTGGCGCGGCTGGTAGCCTAGAACTACCGTCTTCCCCCAAACATAACGCAACCTAAAAATGAATGTATACAAGCTATAATTCCGGCCAGATACAGCCAAAATAAGGGTGCGTTGTGTTCGGGGGAAGACTGTAGTAAAGCAGAATTCAAAAGTCATTTGACCTAACTCTTTCATTTTTAGTTGCCCGTATGCTACGTTGATGTCACCTTTGACTTTCTAATGCACGAACAAAAAAAACAAACAAAATAAAAAAAAACACGGGCACACAGAAAACAGCCGCCGAGTTTGAAAGGGGTCAGTCGTGGTGTCAGACGGGAAAGACTAAAAACAACAAAAACGCCCGACGGATACTTTTCTACCAAAAAAATGCATTTTTGCACTCGGCAGCTGTTCTCTTCTCGCACACTTTTTTTTTTTTTTTTTTTTTTTTTACCGGTCGCGAACTCAAAACCTGCTGCCTCCGTACTTTTTTCATAGATATATATTAAGAATAATAATATTACTGGCTTGGTTTGTCTGGGAGGTTGAAGGGACGTACCTTGCTCTGGTGCTCCTCAGTGTCCACGTCAGGACCCAGCTTTCCTAGGAGTACATACCCAGCAGCTTGTTGCCTTTTGTAGTCTGCCTGCGTGTAAGGCTTGTAATCCATCTGCAGGATCAGATGAAAGGGGCGGGGAGGAAGGGGGGAAGAAACAATCGCATGGGATCGTCAGTCACTCAGTACAAGCAAAATCACGCCCAATAATATGATATTAGTATCATATTACCCCCCCTTCACAAACTTTAGGCCATATTTAGAAGTGGGAAGCGCTTTCAATGCACCACCCTGGCGGGGACTGGTTCGATTTGTCCGGCCGCAAAACGTTCGAGCTCGGCACAGGTTCCCATTCGTTCGGTTGCGCAGGTAGTTAAGGCTTTAGGGTTCAGGGGTTAGGGTCCACAGTGCTGACTTTTTAAAAGGGGTTCGATTTAAGGGTTTAGGGTCCAGGGTTTAGGGTCCGCGGTGCTGGCTTTTTAAAAGGGATTCGATGTCTCCGCAAAGTACGAGGTACGACTGCGCATCTCAATCTCGAAACGCCCCCTGATGAGGTCGCTAACTGGCAGCGACCGAAAGTAGTCGGGGATGCCAGCTCCTCGGTCGTGATGACGGAGTTGCCATAGCTAAGCTATGGAATGTGCTTCATTGTTGTACTCTGTGGACTTTTTCGAGATCGTTTTCACATACTTCTGCTGCGCAGTGCAGCTATGCGTTGGCCGTTTGTCGGTCTTGACTGACTTTGCTATTTCTATCACTGTATAGGTGTGCTAGCTGGTGCACTAACTCAGATTAACACAAATCCAGAATGGAACTCGATGCGCGAGGCTTTACTTCTCACCTCACAGTCAATGCCTTCAGTGCATCGCATGCGATATCAGTCGTCGCATGTAGCGCGACCAACCTGCCGCCTCCTGAGTTGGGTTGGTCGACGGACGGCAGGATGTTGACGAGAAGGAGAGGTTGAGGTGGTTATTTAACTTATTTTTTTAATTGAATTGGAGCAGGTTTTTAACCGTTTTTTTCTCGATTTATGTGTCATCCTTGCCGGAGGGGCCATGCGAATCGTCTTGATCTGTATCGTTCCAGAGTTTTAACGGACGTCACGAAGGACTACGCATGGTTTTTTTTTTTTTTTTTTCGCTGAGTAGTTTTTTGCTGCGTCATTCAATTCAATCAATTATTACCGATTGCATTGCATGTATTGCTCTTGAAGAACTCACAACTTTTTAGAAGGGGTTCAAAAAAATTGAAAGGGGCTAAAAAATTTTAAAAGGGGTTCAAAAGTTTTAAAAGGGGTTCAAAAATTTTAAAAGGGGTTGACGAATTTTAAAAGGGTGGTCCAAAAATTTTAAAAGGGGTTCAAAGTCCAAAGACTCCAAACCCTTAAACCACCACTCTTATTCCCAAGCCTCTTCCCATTCAATGCGCGAACTTGCCCATCCCTGGACTTACAGACCAACTCTTTTTTTTTTTTTTTTTTTTTTTTTTTTT